TATAGTGAATGCGATGCTTGTTTTCTTGACTGCATATCTTATAATATTCTAGAGATTTTGAGCTAATGTTACATTTCCATTATTATCTTAGACATGTAATTGAATTTTGATACGGTTTTCATGGAGATGCATATTAGAAGCATTTTCAACAAGTTTGTAAAAAAAATAGATTGAGTTAATAGGTATTATGCCCAAACGAACGGTGGCCCATCTCGCCCCGTATGGTCTTCTTGCCCCCATCGCCTCTATTGGACTGAATTCGGAAACGCTCATGTCCAACCGGTTTTCGTTTTGGGCTGGAAATTCTCTAAAGCAACATATTTTAAAAATCTGGGAAAATCCGGAACATAATTAAAAATTCTTGAAATAAACGTAATAACATATAAGTGATATCTGGGTAAGTATCTGGCAAGACGATTGAAAATCTGGAAAATCAAATAAATCAGGAATACTGGGAACGCTGTCTCGTTTCATGCCCATAGAGACAACCGACACTCATCCCATTTTCAGTATTTTGCTACCCACAGTGTTTATTGTACCGTCCCTGTATTCATAATATGCTACTCGACGCAGGTATAAAACCACCCTCGACGGTCGAAATGTCATCACGCATTCGCTGCCAGACTGTTGAGCAGTTCAGTCGATTTGAATTCTCTCTAGTTTCGTTCGTTCGTTCGCAAGTCGAATTAGCTCCGCGTTGTATAGTGACGCTCTCGCTGACCCAGCCATGGGTAAGAAATCGCGCGGTAACGCGAGTGCCGGCTTACCGGGAAAACAGACTCTCCCAGGAGACGGCGCGACCACCGAGCCAGCTCAGAAGAAGCAGAAGAAAACCCCATTGCCCGTCCCGACAGGCGTTGCGGACCCGCAGCCGGGGCCTCCCGGAACTAAACGACCCAGACCTGAAGACATCAGCGCCACCGCATCGGCAGCAAAAAAAAAATTGCTGAGCAACAATCCGTTCTCCGCCCTGCAGAACGGAGCCCAGCCGCAGTCGGACCCTGAGACGGTGCCTAAAAAAGTTAAGTTGCCACCCTTCTATGTGAAGGGCTTCCCTCCCGGGCTATGGGAGCAGCTGGATTTCTACATTAAGCAGGGCCTTCGCTGCACCATTCAACGGTGCACGGAAGGCTACAAACTGATGGTCTCGGCCGAAAATCACTACAACGCAGTCCAGGCCCTCTTGGACAGGATGAAGCTGGAGTACTTCTCCCACGACGTCGAGGCCACCAAGCCGCTGAAAGTGGTGCTGCGCGGGCTCCACGACATGGACACCACCACCTTAATGGACGAGATTAAGGCGAACGGCCTTAAGCCGGTCGAAATCCACAAGATGACCCGCAGCAAGGCCATCAAGTATCGTGACCAGCTCTACTTGGTCCATCTGAAGAAGAACTCCACAACCGTGAAGGATCTCCATACGACACGCACACTGTTCCACATCGTAGTGAAGTGGGAGCGGTATAAGCCAACCCACCGTGGCGTCACTCAGTGCTCGAACTGCCTATTGTTCGGGCACGGCACCAGGAATTGCCGCATGGCCAGCCGCTGCATCAAATGCGGCAAAAACCACAAGATCGACAACTGCGACAGCATCGAGGAAGCCACTCCCACATGCGCCAACTGCGGTGCCGCCCACAAGGCCACGAGTAAGGCCTGTCCGAAGCGGGCCGAATACGCCGAGATCCGGAAGAAGGCCTCGTCCAACAGCCAGCCCGGTCGCAAGAAGGTTCCAGAAAACAATGCGCAGAACTTTCCTCCGTTATCACCGGTCCAATCACGGCCAATTCCAGTGTTGCCGCCGCTCCCGCTCAACCAACAGTTGGCTGCCGCTGCAGTACCCGGTCAAGCTTCCGGGCCATCGACGGATCCCCCTGCTCCGGGATTGGCCGGTACAACCGGTGAAGCTACAGACGATTCTCCGCTGTCAACGGATGAGATCGTCACACTGTTGGCCCAGGCCATCATCATCAAGCGCACCTGCGCAACAAGAACACAACAGCTCCAAGCTATCATCTCCTTCGTCGCTAATTATGGACCGTGAACCCATAAAGATCGCCAACTGGAACGCTCGCTCCGTAGGGGCGAAAAACATTGAGCTTGCAGACTTCCTCCGCAAGCACGACATCGACGTGGGCCTTCTCACCGAGACCCACCTCAAGACCGGTGACAGCTTCTGGCTGCCCGACCACAGCATTGTCCGGCTTGATCGCACCAGCTCCAGGGGGGGGCGGTGTCGCGGTCATCATCAAGAAAGGCATCAAGTACTGCACCCTACCCCACTACCGCACTTCCATCATCGAGGCCGTCGGCGTTGAGGTGGAAACATCGACCGGAAACGTCCGGTTCATCGTTGTCTACTGCCCCCGGCAATGTACCGTTAGCAATGGTACAGCACAGCAGTTCAAGAACGACCTTGCCATCATAACCCGCACCAATGCCCGCTTCGTAATCGGAGGGGACCTGAACGCCCGGCACGAGGCCTGGCGGAACTACCAGCAGAACCAAAACGGCCGCCTGCTATTCGACCATTCCCAGCATGGTCTCTATTCCGTCTGGTTTCCGGACGAACCAACCTTCACATCACCGGCGGGCAACCCATCGACGCTGGACCTGTTCTTGGCAAACACCAGATTAGCCAAGCCGGTTGCCGTCAACGACCTGAGTTCGGACCACCAACCGGTGCTGACCGAGCTGGGCTACAACGTGGCCCCTGCACCGTGCCAGCGGAAGGACTACCATCGAGTCAACTGGGTCCAGTTTCGACGCGTGGTCGACCGCCACATCGACGACAACCCACCACTCGACACAGTGGAGGACATCGACCGGGCTCTGGAGGGTCTCCATCAAGCCATATCCGTGGCTGACGAAGAGTGCGTTCGACAAGTTCCTGTGAGGGGTAAGTTTCAAGCAATTGATTCCCACACCAAACTCTTGATTCGGCTTAGAAATGTTCGTAGACGCCAGTTTCAGCGGACTGGGGATCTGCAGCGTAAATACGAAATGGTCGATCTGAATCGGCAGATCGCTTCCAGAATGGTCTCAATCCGGAACGAGAGTTTCGGGCGGCTCGTTCAGAACCTGGACGACCGTTCCAGACCATTCTGGAAGGTTGCCAAGGTGCTGAAGTCTCACCCCAAGCCCATTCCACCACTTAGAGTCAATGACGAACGGCTTATCACCAACGAAGAGAAGGCCAATGCAATTGGGGAGCACATTGCCCAATCGCATTTGCTTGGCTCTACAATCCCAAGTCCACTCGAGAACCAGGTTGTGCAGTGCGTCCAGACGTTAGATACCTCCCCTTGTGCCGTCCCTCCAGAAGAACGGATTACAGAGGAACAAATTTGCTCAGCGCTGAAATATAGTAAAAACATGAAGGCTCCCGGGTTTGACGGAATATTCAACCTAGCGTTGAAAAATATCAGCCCGAGGGTCCACTCGCTGCTGGCTGCCATCCTCAACAGATGCTTGGAGCTGCACTACTTTCCAAGCATCTGGAAGGTGGCAAAAATCATCCCGATCCGCAAACCTGGGAAAGACCCTTCACTACCGTCAAGCTACAGACCGATTAGCCTGCTCTCAGCGCTGAGCAAGCTGTTCGAAAAATTGATCCTCAGCCGACTAAACAAGTTTGTGGAGGAACATGACATTCTTCTTCCGGAACAGTTCGGGTTCCGCAAGGGGCATTCCACCAATCATCAGCTAGTGCGGGTGATGAATAACATCCGAAGTAACAAAGCTGTATCCAAGTCCACAGCCATGGCCTTGTTAGACGTCGAAAAGGCGTTTGACAATGTCTGGCACGACGGACTTATATACAAGCTTTGTAACTCCAACTTTCCACCATACCTTGTGAAAATCACCCGTAACTATCTCCAGCAAAGGTCGTTCAGGGTGTCGTTGAATAGTTCCCTTTCGGGACAATTTCCGATCCCAGCAGGTGTTCCGCAAGGGAGTCTGCTGGGACCACTGCTTTACAGCATCTACACGTCGGACATCCCTCCTCTAGGAGACGGTTGCGTGTTCTTTCTGTTCGCAGATGACACCGCGATAGCCGTCAAGGGTAGGATGCCTCGTGAAATTACGAACAAGCTGCAACGATGCCTTGACACCTTTACTGATTATGCCACCTCGTGGAAAATCAAAATCAACGCCTCGAAAACCCAAGCGATCATGTTCCTTCACAGACAATCACCAAAACTTAAACCGTCTCCCTCCTGTACCGTAGTAATGGATGGTACAAGGGTCGAGTGGTCCACTGATGTTACTTATCTCGGGATGTTGTTCGATGAGAAGCTCCTGTTCCGCTCGCACATAGAGAAAACCCTAGTTAAGTGCTCCGCCTTGGTTAGGTGTTTGTATCCGCTCATTTGCCGCAGATCCCGCCTCTCAAGGCAAAACAAACTGGCTGTTTACAAACAGATCATAGCCCCCGCGATCTTATATGCCGCCCCGGTGTGGGAATCGTGCGCTCAGACCCACAGGAACAAAATCCAGGTTGCACAGAATAGAGTGTTGAGGATGATCCTAGATCGTCCATTCGACACAAGAATAGCAGACCTCCATCAAGAGGCAGAAGTTCCCAAAGTAGATTCCAAAATTGATGATATGACAACTAAATTTATTCAAAAATGCAATCTTTCTGAACATGCTTTGATAAGCAATTTGTACATAGTAGGTTAAGTGTATATAGTAGAGTAGGTTAGTTTTAAGCTGTGAATAGTAGTATTAAGTAGTTTCTCTTCAAATTCTAAAAACAAAACAAACCAATCCCACCAAGGTGGTCGACCGTGTACTAAGTCTAGGACTAATCCTGTAAAACAAATTTTAAATTTTGCCCATACCTAAAGATGAAGAAAGCAATTAAATCACTTAGTAAAAATTTATATGGTAATCGTCCAATTTAAACTAAAATAAAGATCATTTAAACAACAAACAAAAAAAACGAAATGTCATCATTACAGTTTCAGCATCGAACTGTTCGTGTCGTTCGCAGTATGTCTGGACGTGGAAAAGGAGGCCAAGGCAAGGGAAAGGCAATGTCCCGTTCGAGCCGCGCTGGATTGCAGTTTCCAGTCGGTCGTATTCACCGTCTACTCCGAAAGGGCAACTATGCCGAGCGTGTTGGAGCCGGTGCTCCCGTCTACCTGGCTGCCGTGATAGAGTATCTGGCCGCTGAAGTTCTCGAGTTGGCAGGAAATGCCGCTCGTGACAACAAGAAAACCCGAATTATCCCACGTCACCTGCAGTTGGCCATCCGCAACGACGAAGAGCTGAACAAACTTCTTTCCGGAGTGACCATCGCTCAGGGTGGTGTCCTGCCAAACATCCAGGCCGTCCTGTTGCCCAAGAAGACCGAAAAGAAGGCCTAAATTCGATCGAAGTTCCCACCCTTTAACAAAATCCGTCCTTTTCAGGACGACCAATTTGATGGTAAAGAGTTGCGTTTTCAAAACAGTTTCCTTCGTGGTGCGCAAGGAGTGATAAAATGAATCCATTAAAAACATGGTTGAATCTTTCTGTCATGCTCTCCCTAGTTAATTGAATCCTCATCGAGTAAGTTCGATGATGGTTGATTAGTGTAGGCGTGTCTTGAATTCCAAGAAATTATCCAGTGCAGTGTTATCATTCCATCCATATCTAAAATTAAACTAACGACTAAATTTTCAATAGCGCCCTAAAATATCCATCAGTACCGTCCCAACGACGCGTTCATATAGATAAGATTGGTAAATAGCAGATTTTTAGCGATGGGCCCAATCTTAGATCCATTTCCCCTACCTTGCAGAGCTGCGGTGGCCCTGGACTTATGGCCTATATTGATGCAGCGGAATGAAATTCATTAGCAAATTACGGTTGAGATTTCAGAAATGATCGTGGTGTGCGTATTGTTCCTTCATTGCTCAACATTTACCGTTACCGTTGGGACTTCCGGTCTTCTTTGTTTAGTCAACCGGTTAATCGTATTGAAGCGATACTTCTAGATTATTATTACGCCTATACTGTGGGCTCATAGAACAATAAAACCGAGCCTGGTTAGTAGGTGAACACAAAATACTAAAGTAGAACATTCTACCAACATATAGAGTCCAAGAGATTCCTTCAAAAAGGCACAATATATGCGACCGAAACTTCGGATGAAATCCAAACAGATATTTTGAGAGGAACCAGTCGATCACAATCCTCTTATTGAGTTTAACCGGTATTAACAGAGAAATAAGACGCGTTAACCACGAATCCTTGGGAATGATCCTGACACGCTTCATATGGATGACGAATCGTCCTCATCTCCTCAGAAAATGGTACCCATTATTTTAATCGGCATCCTTTTGAAAAATTCCCCTCACAAAAAGGCTTTTCATGTACTGCCAGAGGGTAGGGGGAGAGGGGCAATTTAATTATTACTAAAATGAACGAAATTTACGATGTGCGCTTCCATCGTGCAAACTTTATTTTGATTGCCGAAGCACACTCAAAAAATTTACCACATAGGTATCTAATGGATGAAAACCATGTGAATTTCACATAGCTAAAAATCCCACCACAAAATCACATGAATATCAGGAGGCCGATGAAAGTCATGAAAAAAGTGTCGGAAAGGCATTAGAAAATTAATCGTTAAACTCTTTCTTGATAATGTTGTGGCCCTGAAAAGGGCCATTTTCCAACGAGCTCGGCGTAGTTGCCCGGTGAATACGACCGATTGAGAACTGCAGCAGCTGGGCATTCCATGACGGCGGCCCAGTATACCGGAGCACTGGCACCAACACTCGGCGTAGTTGCCCTTTCGCCCCCAGGCTCTGCTGCCGTTGCTCTGCTTCCGCTGCTCTGCTGCTCTGCTGCTGGGTCAACGATCGGATAGACAATGATGGAACGGGCGACCTTGTTGGACGCTTATATAGTAGAACAGAAAATATCAGAGGTGTCAGATACTCGCATCTGATGTCTCAGTTGGAGAAAGTATAAGAATATAAAAAAATCAATCGATTTTCACCATCTTTAGACAATGGTTTACTTTTAACCATTTTTCAATAGTTTACAGAATGAAATCAATTGTTTTGAAACATTCAGTAAATTGCTAGAAATATTTCCAATCGATTGATGCCATTATCTCGTAAATCTATCGAGAGATGGTTGAGTTATTATCGTTCAAAATCTTTTAATTTTTCGTAACTCATCCAAAATGACTGTTTTCAATTTTGTACCCCCGTATGTTGCCGAAAGACGTTATCCAACGTCAAAAGGCAGTTTCCATCGCCAGGAATTTTGCACACCAGTAGCACTCCTTCATGCACGTTGACTCTTTGTGTGTCCATTGCTGCTTTTCTTACAATTTCTCACAATTTCTCTCACTTTGCACTTTCCAGCTAGCAACCTTGCTTGCGTAATAACCAAATTTAACTATTCGAAAATGGCTGTTGTTCGACTTGACTTCAATTCCAGGAAGCAGAGTCGTGTGTGTTTGTGATATTGACTTTCTGACGTTTATAACACGCACACTTACGCAGTCCCGTTTCCACGCGCGAAGTTTGTTATCCTCTCTTTCGGATGTTGGTTTGTTATTGTTATGCTCACTTTCGGACCACCAATACTCGTGCATTTGGGATGGACTATGAAGTTTGCAGCACCCAGTGCAAAAGTATGTGAATAGCTTGTCGCCCTGCTTTCTAATCTAGGTCCTATTTAGGATTATATCTGAAAAATCCAAATCTGGCCAACGCCCACACTAAACCTAAACCTGTTATAATCCACCTGAAATGACTAACGAATTGAAGACTTTGACTACCCAGCCATGCAATAGTCTCATTCCGTGCCTTATGGCAACTTGATGATTCTATTACGCTCATCTTCTGGCACCACCCAGGGGAGACTTGGTCCTGTACCCAGTGCTTAACTTATCTCCATTCCACTCAGTTACTCGCAATTTCTTGTGATATAGTGGGCGGAATATTATTATATGAGATAATTCAAAGCGGACGTCTTTCCAAATTTGGCAGATTGACAGGTAATCGGTGAGTTACCATGATAGTTGCTATTCAACAACTCGACAACGTCCCATCGTCAACGCCTGCTATGAGAATTTTCCATTGCAGACGCCAACGAAATGACGTCATCGAGCTATCGATCAACTACCCTGGTTATCGCCTGGTACCTTATAGCACGATGCTAGGAGGCGAACCGGAAGAATCGATGAGCTGCCTCCCCCATGTTTAGCACTATACGTTATAGTACAAAATATAAGATCGAAACTTTTAACCAGTAACAAAGACATATTTTACACTACGTTGTGTAACGTTAAAACGTTTTGAACTACTCAACAACTACAACGTTTGCCAAATCTGCAATAATATTTAGGGGTTAGTATTCATTTTTTTCCACACTGTCAAAAAACAGGCATAACGTCACGTAGCATGTGTCCTAGTCTAAATTACAATCGGTTAGATCCGATGGTTTCTTCAGTAGAGTATTATTATACTAAAGTACAAGCTACTGAAGAAGTATGCACATTGTAAACGAAACACATTACTACTCATTCCTTAATTGACTAGCATTCGGTTACGGCCGGTGTTGATTGCTGATATTACCTATTATAACGATTGAGATCACCAGTTTTCATAAGTTGAGGATGTTAGCTAGGCCTATGCATCATCTGTAGTAGTAAAACTAGTAGAAGTAGCGCGGGCGGTTGATTATGCTCATGCTCATGCTTATAGGTGAAGGTATTCCATTGTTTTCTTGAGATTTTCAAAGTTATGTCTATAATAGAGAATAATTCGAAAATGTTCCCTGCGATAAATTTTAAACATGTTCCAGAGATGCAGGATTAGCCAACTGGTGCACTCAGTTCTGATAGGGCTTTTTTCACTATCAACGGTCACAGAAGCAACGTGCAAGTGCACCGCAGGAAGTACAATCCAGCTGAATGAACATGACAATTCTCGATTACTTTTTCGAAGGGACGTATCAGCTTTTTTAAACAATGCATTTGATCGTCAATTTGGCGTAACTGGTAGCTCGCCCACGCATACTAACACTACCATCAGATAGGGTAAAGTTTCTCCTATCTGATGGTAGTGTTAGTATGCGCGGGCGAGCTACCAGTTACGCCAAATCGACGATCAAATGCAATGTTTACAAAAGCTGATACGTCCCTTCGAAAAAGTAATCGAGAATTATTGTTCCTTGACTCTTCTTTCAATTACAAAAAAAATCATATTGGAAAACTGCTCCGATTTCAAGACATCCCAATAATTTATGTTGATCACCGAAGGCGGGCACATGTGTGGGCATTTCTGTCCATCAATAAAAATAAAAGGAATTATTTATGATCTATTTCATCTGAGCGGGGAAAGAAGTAGGTAACCGTATTTCCGTTTGTTCCAAAAAAAAAAAACCGATATCAGAAGAAAGTTCGTCTGGGCTTAAATAAATGCACCCTCTGACGATAAAATAAAAGCAGTTGAAAAAGGAAAAGTTTTCCTTTTCTATGTGATGATATGATTTTCTATAGCTGTTGATTGTAATAGGATCAAAATTACCACATGTTCATTCTTCCCCACGTATTTACGGAGCGGATTTGTAGGTGGGTCGATGACTTTGTGAGAGGCTTAGGTACAGTGTGTTGTGCTCGCTCTTTATTGTTTCTCATACCGAATTTGCTTTTTATCCTGGTTGGAATCAGCGCGAAAGCAAACTTCCTGTTAGTGCGAACGTTAACCTGATGTAAGTTTTAAACACAAACCATCAAAATGGCGTTTGTCAAAAAACAGACCGACCTAATTTTGAGACCCGATCCAGGTTGAAACTGAATCAAACAAATTTAGAGCATAAAAAACTAATGGTTATGGGAATGATGTTGTAACTCGCAAAAAAAAATACTGGTGTGTGTCGAACGTCTTCCGCATTTTTGAGCGCTCTACTAGATGCCACATCGCCACTGCCCTAGTCGGCGTCCATACCGTTTGGTGTAAGATCACCTACTGCCTTTAATTGTTTGTCATTGTCGTGTGACGCACACCGCCACCACACCAGTAGCCGTCTGACCATCGCAGAATGCATACGGGTTTTTCCCTTGATTTGTTTTCCGTCGATCTTGTTTTCCGTACCGAGCACCAATGTTACCGATGCAAGGGAGGCAGCTCCCACACCTGGACCCTATCTATCGACCCACCAACTCATGAACCGGGGACCAACGGTCTTACTTCCCTTCCGAAGGAAGGCGTTATCAGAGATGCTATGCCTCAGAACATCCCGGCGGCGCTTACCAATACACCACCGGCGCCGCTGTCGTGCATTGTATTAATGATATTTTTGTCCCTTTTGGCAAGTAATATTGCACCATATTTCCTACACGATTTAAGTGCATTTGATGTGATATTAAAATTAAAATCCACTTTTTTGTGGATAGGGAACATTATGAATTCTTTCCACA